GGTTTAAATTATTATTCTATAAAAGAAATTGTCTTTTTCCTAAATACCGTTTTGGACAAAGAATACAAGACGTTGGCATCATAATAGATGTTCTTAATTAAGCAAACATACCAATGAAAACGAAATACATTTATTGGGCATTTTATAGAATAGGAAAACGTTTGACGATAAATAAAATACTAGATTACAGTCTCTATTTAGCAATACTCTAACAGAGCATGTGGATATTGGTTTATAAAAAAAGCAATGTTTTAAGTGGTTTTGATTAAATGAAGGTTGCTTTTGTCGAAGTTACTGAGCTACTGACGCTGAATGTGTTTAAAACCGTCAAATCTAATTGTAGGAATGCTTCTAATTATTTATATTTCCTCTTACGACTATAATAAGTTAACTAGTCAGTGCATGGTTTGGGGACTTCCCTTCTACTCATTTAAGCTTGTTCTCGAATAATTTTTATGGAAAAGCCCGTTGGACATTGATAAGATTCCATTTGATCCATAAGAAATTTAAACACACGAATTTCGCATTGAACTTCTAGAACGGTCAACTATAAAGCATTTCTTATTTTATGCCCATTAGTAAAAGAGTAGAGAATGAATTCCGGAACCACACATGGATCTCCACAACTAGTATTAGCCAACTTCTCAAATGTGTGACCGATTTACCCCTTATTTTTTTTCTATTTGTATAACTCTGGTCAAGCAAAATCTTGACAATACTTCATTGTTGAAAATCAAATGCGAATGGCTATCAGTTGAAATGCTTGAAAGTAATCGGTCGAATGTATGATGTTAAAATTATTTTTTGTATCATTCCAAATTGGTGGACAAGCAATAATTAACCTAATGTTGGAGTGGTTCAAAGATATCATTTCTCTTAAAATGTAAAAAAACTTTGAAAAAAATGTTAATTTATAAGTCGGATCTTGCTAAGCAGCCAGAAAGCAGTATTTATGCAGACCAATGGAATGTAAGGTTATAAACTGCAATAAATTTTAAGTCAAATGGTTCAATTCAAGACAGAATTAATGCAGTGAATCTTATTGAAAAATATTACCAATTAATAATGAGTAGAGGGAGTGACATTAGGGAGAGTTCCAGATTTAGATGTAAGTCCATTTAAAGAAAACGTAAGTGAAATGAAATTAATCTTATATATACTACCATATACTGATCACCAATTCAAATCACCTCGACTTCGACAAACAGCTATCTTTTTCAAAATACGTGTTCTGGAGCAAAAATATTGATTAACCGAAACAGTTAATTGTTCTCTCTGAGTTTTCGTGCTTGACAAATGACCATGACGAATTTTCATGCAGAGAAGAATCTTTACCGTATCAGGTAAAATTGCGTCTTTGAAAAAAAGGACGTTATCTGACTATCTAGCCCTCCATCTATCATCATGTAAAACTCTTCAACAGGAAAAATACTTTATAGTCAATTCTATTGTTGCTAATGATTATTGAAAGTCTTACTTTCTATAAATGTCTCTTCATAGCTACATTTCTTTAAGGATTGATAGCACTGCGTCTGTCTGTTATTTGAGAATTTATTAAAGATCGTTTAGCACATCAGCTTTAGCTGATCAAACATTAGGATAATGATTTCATTATGACTTCTTCAGGTAAGATTATAGTAAATTTAAATTCACTCGTATGTACTCATTGTCAGTTTCGCGTTGCCTCACTTCCCAGCCTAATGCGATTAGAGAAGAAAATTTGGTGAGTGGAATTTTTACCGGTACACTTTCACAGCTCAAATACACACCAAGTTAGATATAAATTCAAAATGAAGGTTAATGAATGAATAACTTTGGATACATATTGGTGGGTGTATAATTTTGTTAAACTTTTATTGAAATTCACCAAATTGAAATCTAATTCATAAAATAAACAGATGTGCTTATGCGATGATGATGATGAATATAGTAAAAATTAAATAGATCCTATGACTAAATACTACCAAGTAATAATAAGTATAACCCGTGTTGTGTGATTTACACTAGTCATCTCAAAACCTGTTGAATAATGTCTTCAATGTTCAATTTATTGCGACATTATGTGTTGTTTGTATTTTAAGCAAATAGCAAATAAAATTGACTAAATTCTTAGTGCTTAAAGTTAAGCAGCTTTTTTCTTCATTTTTATTTGTACTAATTGAACTGGAAGACCATTTGCATTCAAATAACAGCCTAATATTAAATCGATAGTTCATTTTTTCTGCACTAGTAAAGTAGTAGTTTGAAAACTGGTTCTTAATAAAGCAAATAATTATGCAGATTTGACACATCAATTTATCATTGTAAGGTCAATTGTGAAGGAATAAATATAATCCGAAGCATTGGGAAATTATTCGCTTTTCAACTGAAATAAAGTGTTTACCAACATAACAAATCAAACAAAATCTAATGAAATAAGGTCTTTTTTAACCAATGTAAATGAAATCGCTACGTATATATATATATATATATATTATTATTTTTATTATTATTATTTTTAGTGACGTAAATTTTCATGTTTGGGGAAGAAAATATTTTCTATTCTTTTCTAGAATAGAGGTTTAGAAGCAGAAAATCGATGAGAGATGACTTTATTCCCAGGAAACTAACTTTGTTTCAAAACCATTAAGCTCTCTAATACCCAATTCTCACTGCTAGCATAAATTTCCTTTTAACTTAGATTGCAAGCTCAGTGGTTCCTAATTTTTTACATTAGCTTTACTCTTCCTGGTACATTGCAACTTCTCGCAAGATAGTTGTTTGTAGTTCGATTTACCTAGATTAGAAGGTTAGAGCAGTTCATGTGTTTAATTTTCATTCCTCTATTCGGTGTGCGATAAACTTGCCTCCACGTGTTGCCCCCTGGCCAACGTATACTCATACGAAAAAATGTCTATAAACCAGCCATTGATTTCTGATTTTTAACTTCCTGTACAACATTGGACCACTTCCACAGAACTCATCTTGCATTTTCTCTGCCTTTTTGTCTGTCTCTTGTACATCTGGGAATCAATCTTTTGTTCCCTGTACTCTTTTGACATTTTACGACTTTGGATGACCCCCCCCCTCTGTCAAGCCCATTGTCAGCCAAAAGCCTAATGATAAATATCAAAACGCCTTCTATTTGATATAAATTCTTTTTGTACTCCATTGAAAAATTGCATTCCTCGATATGAATAATGGCCATTTTAATGGTTTTCATGACATTTTCTTTGAAATTAAATTTACATAATATATATTTTTTATTCTTTAAGAAGATTATTTGTACTGTTGCTAAGAGGTAAATCTGCCTGCCCATTTTCAATTCCATTCATTAGTATTGCATTCAAGCATTACATTGGAACAAGAAACAGAAGGAATTTTTCAGATTATTTCGCTTCAGCTGATTATTGTCACCATTTTTGGCATATCTTCAGATTTACGCCCGAATTTCTTCCAAAACTAACCCCAACTCGAGGCTCTGATAAGCCCTTAACCAAACCGGTGTGAAAGTGAAACAAAAAAAGAATCGCACGTTCTTCTCCTAAGGTATTTTGAAAGCTCCCAATTCTTTCATTTCGCACCATATATCAATTTTCAGTCTTTAAATCATATTAATAAAATACTTCCTTGTAATTTCAAGGTGAAGCAAAGTTAAAAAATTATTTAAAGACAGTTATTTGCTTTAAGACTTATTTAATGGCCCATTTGAAGAATTTTGTGTTTTATTTCCCGATCAAAGGATCAAGCAATTCGTTAAAGTATAATTAAATTGGAATTGCTTATATATATATATATATATGCAATCCATTGGCAAAAATTGTTCAATATTATTTACAAGCAAACGTTCAACTATTCAAAAAAATCCCCAAATAACGCCAAAAAACATACTACTATCTCATTACTGAAAAGTTGTCTTTCCTCGTTTGTTTTTTTAAAATATTTTAAATGTCAACAGATCTTAGTATTTTTCGACTTACTTGGTTTTCAAGAAGCGGGCAATTTTATTATAAAATATTTATTTAAACTCTACATTTCTGTTCTGCACATGTTAGTAAATTCATGTTATTAATATTCCGATGTTGTTGATTCGTCATATAATAAAAGTTCCAACCCCGTAAGACAATTCGTAGTAGTTCCCGCTTCTCCTCTATTGCACGTCATGTTTTTAAGAGCATTTCCGCCTAACAATGAATCAACAACAATTTTATGAACATTCATATTAAGAAAGCTAGCCAGAAATTTTCAAAACTCATATTGATTCTTTCTTCAGATTGGAGTATTTATAAAAGATTGTTCAAATTTGGTAATAATTCAGCAGTTTTCTTTCTTGCAATTTCATTTTAGTCTACTCTACTTTTTGCATTGTATTACCGGCATTAAAATTTTATTATTCGCCGTGAATAATAGACCTCAAAAAAATTTGTGAATGTAAAGAGCCAATAGAATAAAAACAATAGGATGAATTTTATTTAAAAAAGTCTATTAATTTAATCTAATGATCTTCTTTCTTGAAAATATGCACGTTGACCAAAGAATATGATATTTTAAAAATATTACAAGTCAGATTACTGTGACTTTCATATTGTTACTATTGATATAAATATTATAATCCATTTGTACTCTGTGAATATTGTATAGCATCTATCTTCGCCACAAGTGCATTAAGTACGATAATCTGGAAAATAAATTGATACCAGTATTCAGGCGACGAAAATATTCATCAACGTCTAATACATTTCGCCATATTAAATGGATTGATTTTTCCATTATTTTTTTGCTAAGACCGTGTCAATCAAAAGGGTATTTTGGTTTGGTTGATATGTACGACGATATGAATCAGTGATAGATGAAGTACAGAGCAAAAAAAATTCCTAATTAGCCGTTTGATTTATTTTTTTCAAAACCGGGCTAGTGAAAGAAATTATATACTATTTCAAATTTAATTAGGTGGCAGATCCGGACGGATTTATCGTTGTGACTCTCAAGGGACTGTTGACACAACTGAATCCGACTCAACTATGCTCAACGATCTTTCCGTGCGTGCTATTGATGAGGATAAGCTATCTGATTGCAGCGGTTATGACATCCTTGCGGGGGATGCATCAAAACCGTTCGAAGATGAATACTTGATTGGTGGCGCTTTTTCCGAACCTGAAGTGCTTCCAAGCCTTCAACATCAAAGGTATCGTCGCAGAAGACGTGCCCGCAGACGGTGGGGTGCAGACCGAAGCCAACGCACTGTCATAGTGGTAAAACAACCTAAAATTGACCTTGATAAAATCATGGTTGTCGCCTTTGGTAAGATTCATGCGATTCTTACTGTTAAGGAATCCGTTGCCTTCTATATGCCACCCCAGGAAGATGAAAGCAAAGACGTGGGTAAAAAGACAACTAATGGCGGGAAGATTGGAAATATTCTTAAACCTTAAACTGCTTAATGACGAAAAAGTAAGGCTCCATAAATATTCTTTACCATTCTAGTCTTAAAAGCCATGGCAAAATGGATTAATTTTTAGAGAAAAGTGAAATGATTTTATCTGCAATATGATTCCATTTGATTGAAATAATGAACACTGCTAAAGATAGAAGATATTTTAGATTACAGCAGTTTTCGGGATCATGTTGATTGATATAAAATGTTGAAAGAATTATTTTGGAAATTGTAGGCTGCAACAATAATCTCCACTCAAAATCCTATCGAATTTGCTCATCTTCAGAAAAAACCTTTTGCATTTTAATTATTAAACATCACAATTCATTACCTTGAACTAGAAATTAACTACACAGAGAATGAAATTAGTTTTTACAAAGTTTTGGAAATAACAGAATACGACTTTAAAAGTGATGAATGTATGACATATATTGAGTTGGTCGTTTGGACAGACAATAATTCGATATTTACTCATAGACAAATGGATAGCACCTTTTTAAACAAAACTATATTAAGAAGTAAATCAGCTTTAAAAGAGTGAATGAATTAAATTTAGGATAATGTAATTACTCGCTTGATAATTCCGCGTGTTCTACCTTGCACACTTTGTCTCAACTTGTCAGAATTGGAATGGTTTATTTTATACCGATTTTATTCACTTCACAATATAAATCCACGTGGGTGCACTAGACTTTCAATTCAAACTCATCAGTTGTTATTCACTCTTAAACAATTTTGCTGGCAAGTTATGACCAAAAGCCGAAAATTTGCTAGCCATTTTACCGTTTAATTCCCCAGCATGTTGTGATTTCACTCAACGTGTTTGTGGAATGGCGCTCCATGAGAAATCGAGTTGCGTTTTCACAATGAATTCCCTCCAATTGTGCTTTACAAAGAGACCAAGATCGTATTTTTGGTCCGCCAAATTACAATTTTTTGTCGGCATTGAACTCATATCAAAATGGAAAATAATTCAAATTTAAAATGTTGTAGCATAAAGTAAAATGACTAAGAAAACGATTATCAAATTGATTGCTATTCCACAGTAGTAATAATGTGATTGCGTAACATTTGTAGGCTTATAATGATTACAACATGATTTCAAACTGGAATAATAGCATGAAAGAAATTGGTCTAAAAATTAACCTTCTGAACACATAATTATTTCCAAATCAATGTGATATCTACTGCAATTCGAACAAATGATTTAGGCATAATCGGAGCATTTGTAGCTGTACTCTAATAGAAATCGTTCTTTATCTTCAGTGCTCTAAATTCCTAATGTCATTTATGTCGATATTGTAATATAATACAGAGTAAAAAATTGCTCATTATTTACTGGAGTTTAATTGAATGACAACTGCAGGCTTAGGTTTTGTCCATATAATTTATGAACCGATATGACTTGTAAGAAAAGAGATAAGTGCATGTTGGAAATTACAAAATTGAAAATTAAACTATGTTACTTCTTCCTATTTTTTTATTGTGTAGTGTCGAACCACTATAAACGATCGTTGCACTAAACAGTTTATATCGCTGGAAAGCTTTTGAATCCTTATATTCATTAAAATTTATCCGTAGAAGTAAGTCATAGCAGTAGACATTGTGTGCTATCTCGGAATAATGAGCTACTCTTTCTAAATCTGTTTAGATTCATCGACTAAGTTTGCCAGGGGGCCGTGTTTTACTTCTTTTTCTTATTATTATTATTATTACTTCTTATTACTTCTTCCATGTTCACTGAAAAAGTCATTTTCAAATTTTCGAAACGTTAATTTAATTTGACGCGTTCATAAGTTAATAAAGTGAAAATATGCTTCAGCATTATTTTCACTTCAATAGTAATCGTGCTCATAACTATAGGCGTTATGATTCCTTTTAGAACTTTCATTTGCTTACGGTCATTTGAATCCCCGTTTTATTCCGGGTGTTTAATTAATTTCCATGGACGCATTGCCAATACACGCGATGCTCCAACTCCACAGTCGTGATTTGGCAAATGTAAAACTAACTTCCGATCTCAGCTGTTTGACGGGTTGCGAATCAAAGCAACAGTAGTCATCAAACAATAGTAAATATTAAAAGTAACCAAGTTGATGCATTCCATAAGGTGCCATGTCATTCTGTAGTAGTACCTGGTCTAATTTTTTATTGGAGAAAGAAAAGGCTTTCTAATAGCCATTGTTTACTCAACACGGTTTAACCTTAAGCACTCTTAAATGAATATCTTATGGGTGATTCGATCTTGATAATCATTTTATTTAATTCGGTAAATGGTCATGTTAAATGATTTGTTAGAATAACATAGAGTTATATGAGTGACCCAGTTTATACCTTTTTTAAATCCTTTTGCATCTAGCATTTGGGTTTTAATGGTGCTGAGATATTGATGTTGATTTGCCATTACTTAATCTGTAATAATAATTGCAAATAAATGAATTGTGGTGAAAGAAGTAATTATGGATGGGTATTTTCGTAAGTATTGAAACAGAGATCTGTCTACAAACAGTTTGTTGGAAGTTTGGCGAAATTAAAATGATTGAATTTGTCAAGGCATTTGGCATAAATCAGCAACAATGTACTATATCTTGTCTTCACAGAAGTTGGATATATGAGGACTTAGAGCAATTGCTCAGACTTGGATCACATGATGAAATTTTGAATTTATGTGTCATGAAATGTGGAAATTGTTTTAGTTAGATGTGAAGAAGGTTTGGGGGAGACTGATGACAGAGTTGATATTAAGATATTGGGATATTGTGTTGGATTATATTAAAGGTGCTTGCTCAATTCAGGGGAAATCAATTTTTAAGTCCTAACACTTATATGTATCGATTTGACATTTTTACTCCGCAAATTCTCAGTAATTTGTGTGAAGCCACTTCACTGGTGAAGAAAAATGTGACCTCTGACACGTGTTTCATGCTCCAACTTTCTTACTTTGCAAATGTATTTGCTGCATTCACCTTTACCACATACTTGCTACAGCAGATACGTAATTCTTGAAAGCACTAGTGGTCAATTTAGTGTCACGTCAGATTGGCTAGCAACACGCGTGTGAAAATATTCTTGTAAAATCTTCAACAGCATAGTTTATTATAAAAGTAAAAGGACAGTAACGTGAGTGGTAAGTAAAATATATAAGACTAATAACTCCTTGATTTCAGTTGCTTGAAGCGACCATGGCTGAATACAACATACAACTTCTCAATTTCCTTGAAAAAGGTGATGCGTTCCATAAAATGTCATCTATATTGCTTTTTTTGGCCATTATTGCAGTCCTTATGCCTGGAGTATTATTTCTCATCTTCTCTAAATCTACCTATGTTAAAACACTGATTGTAAGATTCCATAATTAACCAATACTTCTTTGTAGTACTTTGCTTCAATTACAGCAGCGACAATTATGGAAATTGTGCTTGGGGGCTTGGTAATCGCTCAAATCGGTCATACAGCAGTTGGTGCTCTCATTATCTGTTCTGGTGTTCTCGGGGTACTATTGATTGGTATAACGTTGGTCCTATTTAAAGTGAATAAGGATCTGAAATTACAATGAGGTTATTAACGTTCTTTTATAAACTGCATTGAAATGCCCACTAAATGAATAAATTTTCATTGTCGTTTATTTATTATTAATGCGTTTACGCCCTGTTTACTGTTTGCTAACTTTAAACTTTTAAATCAGTCGAAATACTTACTACAACATTTCGAAATTGAATACCCAATGTTATAATTAACCTAGAATCTCAGTGTTTTTATCATTTTCTGAGTTATTTTATTTTAAATGTAATTTTGATTAGGAAAATCGAATGATTTGGTATATTAAGTGTTTGGACTTAAGCCATGAGTCAACTTGCTGCAAGCTACCTCTGGCAAACATTGTAACTTAATTTCTTCGTTTACCAATCGCTTAGAAGTATCTTTCGCAACAGCAAAATTCTGGCACAGAGGAAGGAAAAATAAGTAAATTGGTTAGTAATAATTTGAAATTATATTGTATAAAATACACGCATTCTCACATCCGTCCCCTAAAGTCACATGAGGCTAACTAAATTTACAGGCAATCAATCATTAAAAACACGATTTTAATTATCTTATTAGCAAGCAAATTCATTTGTTTCAATTATGATTATTAATCATATTACAATCACTATGAGTTAGGACTAAAAAGGCAACTAAATATCTCACTTTTATTTAAAATCTATTGAGGTTTTCCTCACTTAAAAATGTATTTATTAGTTGTGAATTGATTGAGCATCCTAGTTATATTTGCCAATTTTGGATTTAATGAAAACCGTTCGTTCAACACTTTCCTAGTCTATAATTGAAATAGCTTTTAAGTAATTGCTAATGACAGAAACACTTCTTCAAATGTACAAAGATGTCAAATTAGTACCCATCTATCAAAACCCGGTTTCATTATCATTTTGACTAAAATACTAATCATGTTATATGGTTAAAAGTAGGATTGTCATCTAAACTAATTCTATAAACCCAATGCTCACACAAGGTGGCATTATGGACATTTCAACGCTTTCATTTTGCTGATAAGTGGGTGTCACTTATATTTAGATGGCAGGACTTAGTTTGAAACAACGGGTTTTATAAGAACAGAGATGCGTTTAAAAAGAAACCAGACGTTGATCAGATTGTGAAAGTTGTTAGGAAATTGAATTAATTAAAAGTCGATGGCCTTTTCCATATGTTGGGTTTATTAGTGCGATTCAAAATTGTAAACAAATTTCCTAGAACAGCACACTACTCAATAATTTGTAGACTTCATTCCCTATTAGTTTGTGGTGCTGGTGCCAGAGCATTAACTTGCGAATGCACTGTTTGCAAGGAATACTCTTAATAATTTATGATAAGTACAGAATGCTAACCACTGAATGATGCCCATAAATTGAGACATTTAATTCTATCTCTTGAGTTTGAGAAACTGCAGAATGCTTATCTTGAGTATTAGCATAACACATTTTAAGATGTTGACCGCAGTCG